AAGATATTAAAAGACATGTGAAATAAATTTATAATATTTGAAAGACGATTTAATATAAAATGAACAGAACGTTCAAAATTAGGCGGGATATTTCCAAACTTTAATAAACTATCCCGATTTTTAAAGTGTTTGCAAAATGTCCGTCTTTTGAAGTGTTTCATAAGTAAAATCGCTTATTGTTATACCAGAAAAATTGTAATATCTAATTTATAGAAGAGAGTTCGTGTTTGCTAATTATCTCAATTAAAAGAATTGACGGTTAAAACAAACAAAGCTACATTCGACGTCTTAATTATTCATTGTCGCCGTTGCTTAGATCATTTTGGGCACATCGCGCGGAAAAGTCGTTTTAACACAACTGCTAAGAGTGCCAATGACGTGGTCCTTTTCAAATGAAATGGGCAATGTCATTGGTTTGCATATCCAGTTGTATTAATGTCGCTTTGCCAGGCAGCGTGATCTTTGTAAATATTAGTATATGGATAAGTAAAAAGTTCATTGATTGTTCGTAGCAACTGTCAAGAATGACGTCAGATAGATAGAAACCGAGGCCAACGAGAAAAACAGGCCAAGGCGCGTTGTTTATCACATGACCAAATTATTGCTGAATGCCGCCATGTTTGAATTGTGTTTTTATTGAAACAGAAAGACGTATTATAGATATTTTAAATTTTTACAAACGTAAAGGACTGGAGTTTCAATATTGGATGACTTAAACGACTGATAATTTCTTGATGAGTATTTTATTTAAATTACTATAAATATTTGGTACAATTATTTCTCGGAATGAGTCGGTCGACCTTACCAGGGCTGTAGGCTATACCCACAGAAGTAAAAAAGTCAAAGAAGCATTCCTATACATGTGACCCTTCGCGAGATATCTCGCGAAGGGTCACATGTACAAGTATGGTTCCATTAACTGTTTGCTCGTAGAAAGGGTCAACAATTCTGGGATGTGGCAAATCCCTCATTTAGAGTTATCATCTTACCAAACATGAGAAAATTTTTGATTAAAAAAATGTGTTGAAATTTTATTCAAAATTTCAGTAACTTACTAGGCTAATATACGTTAGGCGAATTAGTAGTTACTTTTAGGTAGGTAATATTTACTTTCCCGGTTCTGTTTTATATATAACCGATGTAGAGTATGGCGATCGGTCAAAAAATGATCCCAAGATTTTTATATTTTTGGACTGAGGACACCTTGAAACGTTGAGAATTGCAAAAAATTCGGGTTTTTTTCTGTGTGTATGGATGATTGTTTTGAGTGTAGGGGGCACGATTTTTTCGCCTTCTTTGAAGTTCAATATCTCTTGAGCTTTCTGTCGCAAATTTCTGAAATTTTGAAGGGAGATTTGTTTATTAGGGGATTGATAGTATTAAATTTTGGAAATTAATGGTCGAGGGAGTAGGAAGATAATGGGGGTCGTGTGTATCTCGAGTGGGGTCGGACTTAATGAATATTTTACTCGTTATTAGCATTTGCAGTTTTTTATAAACACCCATCCTTTCTCTGAAAATTAAGCTTTTTGCCATTTATAACAGTTAAAGATATAAAAGGTTTTTTAATAAAATATGATAACAGATGGCGCCATTAAATGTTGGGGACAGTTGATTAAACTGTTCAGGAACGGATGGTAAAAATAGCTTGATCCTGGGACCGGTAAAACCAAACTGCCCTGTCACAAAAAAACTATAATAACGGGGCGGGGTTACCGCGTACAAACAAATAACTATTGCACAATGGAAGTAGTAGTTGAATGCCAGCGTACAACGTAAGTATGGCTGGATACAAAAATAGATAATTTACGACTAATGAGCCGCATTACAATTTATAAAGGGTGGAAGGTAACAGTCGAAAACAACAATGAGCACCGGTACCAATCACATAAACAAAGTTCATTTCAAAGCCACATAAGGGAGAGGCGATGAGGATGATAAGAAATAGTGTCTGATGCTGATTTCGTCGGTTTTGCCGAAGCCTCTGGTGTAGAGGTCACTTATCCTGTCAAGAGTCCCTTGCCTGATTTCGATCGGTGAAGTCTGGATGTGTATATGCATAAAAGTAATCATTGATATTAGGAATGTCACGGACGACGCAAGTAGCTAGAGCTGATCTAATTATGTTCATCTCTGATACTTTGCGCCATTGATTACTTTCATCGTCATAACATTCTACTTGAGAAATTAAAGTCTTTCCATTGAAACCTCCAATTACACATATTGCACCATCAATTACTACGGTATCGAAATTACTTCTAGATGATAACATATGTGGTACATCACTCCAAACATTTCGATGTAGATTGTATTTTTCGACTGTGTCTAGGCGAGTGTTACCGTTGAAACCTCCCAATGCATAAATATATCCTTTGTATGCTACACAAGATACTCCACTTCTGCGAACGTTCATTGATTGAATGAGTGTCCATTGATTATTTCCAGGATTATAATATTCAGCAGATCTAAGCACCTCTATTCCAGTAAATTCATCTGTTATATAAATACGACCATTTAAAGTAATGGAACTCGCATCGCTTCTGTGTAAATTCATGGGTGCAATCATAGTCCATTGATTTTTATTACAATCATATTTTTCAACAGTGTTTTTTCTAACTAAACCTCGATGGTTTAGTTAAAAATCCTCCTATAGCATAAATGATGTTATCTAGAACCGCTACACTTGCGTAACAGCGTTTACTATGCATTAGAGCTATTTCTTTCAAACTTTTATCAATTGCATTTGTGACCGAAGGGTCAGCACCTCTTTGGTGCCCTGTCAGGATGACACCACCGCGTCTCGGCGGACACGGAAGCCGCGTTATTTAGAACGGAGCGATCAGAGTCGAGATAGAAGGAAAGATAGCGCACCAGAAGTGACTTACACAGAGACGCTTTAACGTAACAACTGTTTAATAAGTAACTATAGGCCATACAGGATATAAAATATATCGATTTTGACTTGGCTAGTTTTTTTGAGATCTGTGCTACAATTAATATAAAATAGACATTAAATTGGATTTTAGATTTCAGTTACCGTTTCGCGGTTCTCGAGAGAGAGAGTTTACATAAGTTGCGCGTGGCGATAATTACCTGGAGTTGACAAGGTCCACAAGAGTTGTCGTTAAGGTGGCGATCGTCGAGAAAGTGTATCCAATTGTCTTTATGGCACAAAGTTCTTTAATATCCTAAGTGAGTAGGTGATATCCGGATGGGCACTGACAGTTAATTGTTGGAGGGATTTCGGGATGATCTTACTTCTCGAAGAACGGGCTACGACTGCGTCACTTTGTTGTTCTGTTTTAATGTCGTACTGTTGAAAGCGAGATATTAGGTTAAAAGGTAATGAGAAAGCGTCGTTAGCAAGCCTGAGAACTTAGCAGATGTTTAGCTCCCAGGTGTAAAAGTTGATAGTTATTAAACGAAAGTACTGTATAGCCACAATGTGAAATGATAAAGTGATATAAACACACGGAAAGTCCGAATTTGGATCCTCACACATTTAAGCAGTTGCAATTATCAAATTGCTTTGACCCATGAAAACCACCTATTATGTAAATGTAATAGTTAATAACTGCTCATTTGTGATAAGCTCTTGGAGACATCTGAAAGTTGTGCTCAGGTTCAATCCATCGATTGGATCTAACATCATACATTTTCATGGCATAAGAAGTAGAACCATAATTCCACCCTCCTAAAGCAAATATGATTTCATGTGGCAATCTTGGACGAGCAAATTTAGGTATGATCCTTTTGTAATACATGCTGTTGACTATATTTATGCTATTTAGAAACCTTAATGTTTCGATAAGTAAAAAATAGCATCGATGGTTCTCTAGAACAGGGGTGACCAACAAGTCGATCGCGAATCAAATTTTGGTCGATCGCTCGCGATGTTTTGAATTAATGTGTTACACTTGTAACCGAACGCAACGCGCAAATGAAACTGTAGTGATATCGGACCTCCGCGTCCTCCCTAAGATTCGGTTTTATCGGTCCATGTGCAATCCATTTGCGTACAGTTATAAAAGGGGAATAAGAAATGTAGACAAAGGGTCGTAAAACCGAAAAAAAGAAATGCGGGAAGAGAGACAGAGAGAGTAGGTGGAGAGTCGAGACGTTCGTGGTGGTCCCCGAAAGTGACAACGTTGAGTTTCAATTTTTTTTCTGTTTAAAACGTAAGTACCTTTTCTTCAGGTTTTAAATTAAACTGTGGCTTTTCTTACCTATCTAAACATAGTATGTATTTCACACCTCTCCTCGCCACTTCTGAGTGAGAAATTCCATATTTAGTAACACGTTACGAAAACATTTCAGCAATTGAAATATGTAAATTTTTCTCTGTCGTGGATTTATATCGATCCATTTTAATATCGTCGCCCAAACAAATTGTTCGGATTTAACATTAAGTTTATCATTTTTGAGAATTTCTATTAATTCTCAAAAAATGTGAGGTCCATTATCTGCGCAGTTTTGGTAGCTATATCTACGAAGTTTTTCAATAAATAGTCTTCGATTAATTCTTCAAATTTTGGGTATTGATACGTCTTTGTGAATTCCCTTATTATAAGACAGTTTTGAATGTTCAACTCCAGTTCGAAAAATATTAAACAGTCTAACACCAAACCTTCCATAAGGTATTGCTCAGCAGCAGTGAATACTTCTCGGGCGTTATCCCATTCCAATTTGGTGTGACCTTCATAAATATATTCGATGATTCTTTCTAAGATATCTTTGTTGACATCATACATTAAAAAGGAATGTTTGTCTTTTCCATAAATCGTAAACGTGAATAGGATTTCAAAATAATCAGAGTAAGCAGCCATTATACATTTGTGAATTTGGAACTGTCCTCCATCATCAGTATTTAAAACAGCATCGCAAAGTAAATTTTTATGTCTTATTCTGTTCAGTACTTGTAAAGAATGAGAACTTAAAGTTTGTTTTACTTCCATCGTTATTTTTGAGAAAGATATTTTGTTTAATTTTATCAATAAACTATCAAATTCACATTATCTAAATTGATTACTGGCATATATTGTTGGTGTCAAATTGTTAGTATCTAAATGTTGTAATCGTATAAAGAAAGCCCAATGAATTCCAAGAAACAAAATCCTTTATTTTTAAGTTTGGTAAGAGAGCAAACGCCATCCTCATCAAAAGGTAGAGGCTCCCACCCAATTACTCCCTTGGCGCACAAAAAATCATAGCCAGTCAGTGTCGGACTTATTGAAGATTTTACTGGCTATTAGCGTTTTCAATTTTATTTTTTTAAACAAAACTCACCTTTACCCTGAAAATTACGCTCTTTGCCATTTTATAGTAATTAATAATATTAAAAAGTTTTAAAATAAAATTTCATAACAGATGTCGCCACACACAAGTTTGCCCGAGAAAGTTACGAACCTCGTTGTTGGACTTTTTAATGAAAAGAACAAAATCTTAATTCATCTTTATATTAGCACTCACGTAATTTACTATAAAACACGAGACTTTTCTTATCATCAAATTTTATTTTCAATTCAAAATTTAAACTGCATGCAAAGCATAATGTTAAAATATCGGACACTATTTATATATAAGTATACGCTTTAATTTCTTTCTAAACGTCTACATTGAGAAATGGGAATGCATCCTCCTCTACTTTCAGCATATTCCGATATACAAGCGCAAGCGGGTTTACGTCGGTAAGGATATCCAGTATAGGATTGTCTCGGCCCCGAACAAATAGTAAATCTGCCATTTAAATCCAGTTCCATGTACGGTTGTCGACACACACCTGATAAAATTTCAGTCGACATTATAATATATGACTATAGTCTGCACTGCGTAAGAATAGACACGAGTTAGCCTGAGCTGGAAGAGTCTATGTCAGATGAAAAGGATGGAAGGAGATATTTGGAAATTGTCACAGTAAAATAATTTACAAAAGGAAAAGTAAAACAAAGATAGAATAAAAACTGTACAAGCACCTTCCATCCCGTTTATCTACGTTTGTTTGTTTGCTTAGTTAAGTTACAGCAACGCAGCACTTGGGCGGAATGCCTAGGGGGAATGCCTTCCGGAGGTCTTTTTTTAAGGGTAACTGACCCCTATTCAGGCGTTACAGACGTGGAGAAAACCCGAAAAACTCCACATGGCCAGCGAACTTTGACCGAACTCCCAGTGTTCAAAGAACGGAACCGCTTGGCCACTGGTGGGCCCCCTTTTATCTAACGTAGACGTGGCTCGTGTCTATTCTTTGGCGGCGCGGACTATGTTAAGAGTTTAAAAGTGTACTTACGGCTGCTGCATTGTTCTAAACGAATGCACTTTTTAGTTCTTTGATCTCGAATATAACCAGTTTGACAAAAACATCCGGAACGTTCGACTTGTTGGTAACAAGGATCGTCCAGTGCATTGTCGCAGTAAGGTTCGCATCTGGCATCTTCAAATACCTCGTTTACTCCGCATCTTTGAGTTTCTGATACGAAAATGAAAAAAAAAAACATTTTAATTTTAAATGAAATAAATAATAATACAATTAAACTTACTGGCTCCGTCGATGGCTAAGACGAGGAAAAGTAGTAGAGTTCCGTAATTAACCAGCATCGTGTTTGTCGTAGCAATGCCAGGAAGGATAATGTATAGAAATATACAGTAATTGGTGTTACGAAAGTAATTATAGGAAATTGCAGTTATAGAGAAAAATTATAGGAAATTCCAAAATAACATTAATTGAATCTTTTCGTGGAGATGATTGGGTAAACATTAATAATAAAACTTTTTATAAACATGATAAAAGTATTTTTACGAATATGTACTGTAAAGCATTCGTTATATTTTTAGTACTAAAATTTAATTTTTTTCATGAAATATCATATGAATGAGTGTTCCTTTCTTTCGTACACTACGATAACTGAAATAAATGTATGTTTTGGAATTAAATTTTGTAACAATTTCTATAAAAATAAAGAAAAAATTTAATGTTTGTAGTAGTAATTATAAATGGAATATACAAACACACTTAAAGAATATATAATGTGGCAAAGTTTTTATTACTTAATATCCTGTAAGCAGGAAAATATACTATTTTATACTTTAGAAAAGTTGTTCTATGAATACCTGTTGATATTATGGTATATGGACAAATGAACAATGATTCTCAATGACCTCGAAGCTTTAATAATTTCAGAGTTTCTTAGCTTTATTATTTAGTTTTTCGGGTATAATAGCAGAAAAACATGCTGTTTTTGCAAGCTTAAATACTTCACAGATGTTTAATACTGTAATAGTTTAACTAACTTATTTTGTAAGTTTTCACATTTAATTTTAAAATTAAAGTTATATTTATCAAAATAGAAAATTTTAAGTAATTATTTGGAATATTTTCACAGATAAATTATATATTTTAATTTATATATTCAGAGGAAACGTAAAACTATGTATATAAAATAATTTAAGACAATTGGTCACGTACAGTACGTAGTGAAAGCAGGAGGAAAAATAAATTTGATTCTTATCTGGTAAAGAAAATTCTGTTTTAAGAAAATCCTTGTTAAACACTTATTGAACTGAAACGTAATTCCAGTAATAATTGCCCGGGCAAAGCCCAGGCTACTGGGATAACGTTTGCACTTTTTTGTCCGAGTTTAAAAATAATTCCAACATTAGATTTTAATGATTTTGGTGTCAAAATGTTCAACAGAACTCTAGCGTGCGCATAAATTATATTTTGGAAAATATAACAATTAATTCTCAGATAAGATATATTCAAAAAACACTTAATCTTTGACGCTTGATAAAAAAGAGGTATTTTGACATTTTTGGTGATGTTTTTTGAAAAAATAAAGTCAGACAGTTGCTTCATGTTTTCGCAGAGTTTGGCGAATTTCGGCTAAACTATAAAAAAGTAATCCGAGTTAAAAAATTTCTTTTAACTCGGATAACTCGGATTTATGGTGCGTCTTTTCTTTATTACACAAAGTCGATAATTTTATTTTATTTTTTTATATCGTTTACTTATCATTAATTATTTTTCAGTTAATAATTTTAACCAAATAATTAATTAAGGAATAATTTTAAATTAATAAATAAGAAGATACTTTATAAGAAACTCCTAAACACATGCTGCTGAAAATGTTTAAATAATTCGATGATACTCAGTTTGGTATAAATATATTTACTATAAAATGCCAATACAGTAAAACTTGTGTAAACCGGAATCGCACGGTTCTGAATATTTTTTCCGGTTTGGCAGGTTTCCGTTTTATTCAGGTACCGCTTTTGATTGGTTTTACTGTACACGGATTTTTACAGTTGTGGCCGCCAGCGCCAGAGATCCTGAACACTGTCTGGCAACACTTGCCAAGATCACGAACTCTGTCTGGCAACACTTGCCAACAAGAGTGGCTGGCAACGTCAAAAAAGAAAAGGCGCGAAAGTTCGTTGGATTTTGTCCGGGTGTTGCCCGAGGATGTCTGTGACAGTTCTAACCTTTTCTAATAAAGTTCTTTTTTGTTACTGTTCGTGTTTGCCTGCTTAATGTTAGATCTAAACATCAGTAGGATTGAATGACAAAGTGGTGACCCGAACGTGATCCGATTAATGAACTACCTGGACTTTCGACTGAATTGGATAGCGAACAACTCTGTGTCTATGATGGAACTTTTTTAACAGGATATGCAGGTATGATCAGTTTCTAAATCGTAAATTCGATAGGAAGACGGTGGGTAAATCTTACCGAAGACTAGGAGTACGTGACTCAGGCTAAGCTTTATCCAAGACTATCCCGCTTTCTTTGTAGCCGCATAGTTAAGCGCCCGGAATGGCGGAACAGAACGAGTTGGAAATCGGACGTGTACAGGCAAAAATGCCTATCTTTACTAAAACCAACATCAAATTATTTTTTGTGCAGCTAGACGCGGCTTTTGCCATTAATCGGATTACAAGTGAGAACACTAAGTACAACTATTTAATCAATTCCCTGGACGCGGAGATTCTATCTAATGTTAGTGACTTAGTATTTGACCGTCCAGCCGAGGCTCCGTTTTCTAAACTTAAAGATCGACTCCTCGAAATTTTCCAGAACTCCGCTGCTAAAGAGGCTAAAATTCTGCTTGAAGATCTGGCGTTAGGGGATCAGAAACCCAGCGTTTTACTCCGTAAAATGAGGGAGCTTTCAGCGGGCAAAATTACCGAAGAATTTCTTAGAAACTTGTGGCTCCAACGTCTCCCCAAAAATATTCAGACCGTATTGGCTGTTAGCAGTGATGAACTAGACAAGCTAGCCATCCTTGCTGACAAGGTTGCTGAACTTACAGAACCAACCCAACTGGCCAGCATCAACTTGAAAGACGAAAATCCCGTAATCAAAAACCTTGAACTGCAGATTTTAGAACTCACAAAGAAGGTTGCAGAACTTAATGTATCGCGTACTGCTCGTCCCCGTTATCGTAGTAGAGAGAGAAACCGACATAACCCGAATTCGAGGCACCGCGTTAGTTCACGCTCTCGGGGAAGAAGCCTCAGTCGTCAGGGATATTGTTACTACCACAGTAAGTTTGGATCAGCTGCTTGGAAATGTCGTTCGCCGTGTTCCTTTAATCGAACTGCTGATCAGGGAAACGAGAGCAGCCAGCCGCAGTAACGGCCTGTGGGTCCAGTCTGGCTCCTAAATATAGCCGTTTGTTTGTGTATGACAACAAAACTGGCCTAAATTTCTTAATTGATTCTGGAGCAGATTTATCGATCATTCCCAACCGCACTAAGAATCAGCCTACAAAGGTTGAATTGTATGCTGCCAACGACTCTAAAATCTCGACGTATGGAACAAAAGTGCTAGAACTTGACCTCAACTTAAGACGTTCTTTCAGATGGGAATTCACCATAGCTGATGTGCAGAAGCCTATAATCGGTGCAGACTTTTTGGCCAACTTTGGACTCATTCTCGACATCAGAAACAGATTACTGGTTGACCCCCTGACTTCCCTTACTACACGAGGAAGATATTATACAGGACCACCTACTTCAGTCAAAACTATAATCAGCAATTCCCCAATGCAGGATATCCTCAAGGACTTTCCACATCTCACTCGTCCTCGACCGTTTTCAGATAAGGTCAGGCACAACACAGTGCATTATATCGAGACACACGGTCCACCCGTATTTGCTAAACCTCGTAGATTGCACCCGGCTCAACTGCAAGTAGCAAAGCAAGAATTCCAGCACATGATGGAGCTAGGTATATGCAGACCATCAAAGTCCAACTGGGCTTCTCCCCTCCATATGGTGCCGAAGGGCCGTAACGATTGGAGACCTACGGGAGACTACCGTGCCCTGAATAGGATAACTGTTCCCGATCACTATCCAGTGCCACACATCCACGATTTTGGTCAAAATCTACACGGAGCTCGAATATTTTCCAAGATCGATTTGGTTAGGGCCTTCCATCATATACCAGTTAACCCAGATGATGTGCCAAAGACAGCCATTACGACGCCATTTGGGCTATTTGAATTCATTTTCCTCCCTTTTGGTCTCTGCAATGCAGCCCAATCATTTCAACGATTCATGCATGAAGTTCTGCGAGGCCTAAACTTCTGCTTTTCATACCTAGATGACATCCTCATCGCTAGCACTTCGTGGGAGGAACATAAGATGCACATGCGGCAAGTGTTTCAACGCCTAGACAAGTACGGTCTGCAAATCAATGCATCCAAGTGTACTTTTGCTGCCTCACATGTATCATTCTTAGGATACATGGTGTCTCCCCACGGCATTATGCCACTTCCGGAACGTGTATCTGCCGTAACTCAACAGAAGCGACCACAGACCCTCAAACAACTGAGAAGGTTCTTGGGCATCTTGAACTTCTATCGTAGGTTCCTACCCAATGCGGCCCATCACCAAGCTCCTTTGCACGACCTACTTAAAGGAGCAAAGAAAAACGACCAACGTGAGATTAAATGGACTGACAATTCTATTCAGGCATTTGAGTCATGTAAATCACAATTAGCAGAAGCCACCTTACTACACCATCCTTCACCAAGTGCTACCCTTGCACTTCACGTCGATGCATCTGATTCTGCTGTGGGCGCTGCCCTTCATCAAGTTACAGCACAAGGTCTCCAGCCACTGGCGTTCTTTTCCCGCAAGCTGAGTAACTCTCAGCGTCAGTATTCTGCATACGACCGAGAACTTCTGGCTGTGTATTTGGCTGTGAAACATTTCCGATTTATGCTGGAAGCACGACAGTTCACCATTTACACAGACCATAAACCATTGACGTTTGCTTTCCAGCAACGACACGACAAATGTACACCCCGTCAGTTGAGACATCTCGACTTTATAGGACAATTCTCGACAGACATCAGACACATAAAGGGAATCGATAATGTTCCAGCTGATGCTCTCTCCCGTATTGAATCAATTAGTAGCCCATCTATAGATTATAGCAAAATTGCAAAAGACCAACAGCAAGATCCTGAGCTCCAGTCTCTCCTGACTTCAAGTGACTCATCACTTGTACTTAAGAAGTTTAAACTTCCTGATAGTGATGTCGAAATTTACTGTGATGTATCGACAGGTCGCATTCGTCCATACATTCCACCTAATTATCGTCGCACTGCTTTCAACAC